AGGATCCTTGTGCATATATGTACAGGGTGCAAGTAAAAACTTTCAATCCCGTGAGGGCAGTTAGGGGTGCTTCTTTCCCAGTGAGGACTTAAATGCATCAAGAGAGAGTGAGCAGGCTGGATCTACTGGAAGGTTGTTCCAGTCCTTGGTAGTTCTGGGGAAGAAGGAGCTGATGTAGGCTTTGTTTGTACACAGTGTCGCTCTGAAGCGGGATCCGTGACCTCTTGTTACAGATGTTGCTGCCTTAAGGTATTGTTGCCATTCAACGTCAACAAGACCAAAGTGTAGTTCCTTTCAATATATTTCATCATGCCAATTTAGCCCATCAATCCTGCATCAAGGGTTGTCGTGTGCTCATCCAATTTTTTAAAAATAAATTATAACTTTTCTGAATATTAAAATTTTCTTTCACATCACTTCTTACCTTTTTGACCAGTCACTTTCAATAATCCAATCTCACTTTCATTTTCATCTCTCTGGTAACTCCTCACCAGTCATTCTTTCACACTTATTTGACCCTTTCTCATTCACTCTTAATTTTGTATTATTTTTCACCTTCCTTGTCCCAACTTTTCTAAATGTTCCAATATTGCTCACTCTTCATATTGTTTTCTGATGACTTTGATCACTGTCCTTTCACATTCTTTTCAGTTCTGAATACAAAATAAAATCAGTATAGGCCTACATTTGAACATGCATGGGGAAATATGAACTAATTTAAAACAACTGGGAAGCTTAATGCCTTGTGAACCCCGACAGTTAAGTACCAGAAAAAGACACTTTCTTTCACTCACTTTTTGTGCCATTTTTTAATCTCATGTTTTTTCCCCACTTTCAAGACTTTCACTACGTTCACAAGCTTATAATGAAATCAATAAATGAATATAAATTCGCAACTTCACTTTCTGAAGTGTATTCTTGATCATCTTGTCTTTACAAATATAAATATTCAATTTCCAATTTTCATATAATAAGGTGATTTGCAGCAGATCTAGCAGATCACTTCGATTTCGTCAAAATCTTTCAGTACGTTTTTTGTGGTAAGATTTTCTCAAAACGCACCATCCGATCACCACTATTAAATTCCCCTTGGTCGGGAATAGTATAGTATTAATGACTGCTTTGAGAGAAATAGTTGTTTTATTACGCTCAAGGGAAGGTTAGAATAGCCCAATTGTAACCTTCCCGAGAGCGTATGAAAACAACTATTTCTCGAATATTAAAGCAGTCATTAATACTTTTATATGCCGAAAAAAAATAGACTAAAAAATAAAAAATAAAAAATAATTTACATTTTTGTCGAAGACGGGATTCGAACTCTTGCGTACAACAAGAGGTGTATCGAAAACCAACGCTTAGACCACTCGGCTATCGCGCGCCGTTAACATGCTTAGCAGTTTTCTCCAATATATACATTAAAATGGATTGAAAACGGCTCCGCGTGAGGGATGCTTCGCAAAAGCTCCATGAAACGGACCCTTCTTTTACTTTTGCAATGCATATTGGCACGAACTTAGATCAAGATCTATCGGCAGATGTTGTTTTTTTGTTTTTGAGAGTTAATTTTCGTCTTCATGTCAACAATGCAAGATAAAATTGTCGGTAAGATCGATCGAGATTCAATTGTATTGAAATTGCCGACCAATTTTTCGCACACGTATGGTATCCTCCATCGCTCAAACCATTTTTTAACATGTAAACCTATGGGGTAACCATGGAGACTGACCTATTTTTTTAATAACCATGGTTATTAAAAATATTGAAATGTTTTATGCATGGTTACCGGGAATTTTACAGGAACAGTTGAAGTTTATGAATGCAATTCGACCAATCAGATGGCTGGATTTCTTAAGTGAGGTATATAAAAAACCATACAAATATGATATTAACAAAAAAACCTTTCAATGTGAGTTGTATTAAAGCTGAGAGGTCTGATGACCGTTCGTGAGATAGCATCTGACGATCTCTTCTTCAGATCAGATTTATCTGCTGCAGATCACATATTTTTTAGCAGTGACAAATTCAAATCTACTGTTTCAATGTGATATCTAAAAGTATATGAATCTTGTGAAGTTTCCATTTCCTGGTCTACAGAGTGTTCAGCAGCCGCTCTATCAAATGATTTCAAGATTTCAGCAATCTGCTAGACTGATGCTCGGTTTATTGATGATGAAGTATGCAGAAGGTCATTCCAATCCTGCAGCTATGATAGGTTAGAAAAATACAGAAAACGGTGAGAAACTAACATCTTTTCTTGAAGCTGGCCATTCCAATATTCTAATCACATCTTGCAAGCAAGTATTGAGTATTTTTCTTTTAAATAGCTAGATTTTATAAATGTGTAAATATCTTGGTCTACTGTATCTCCCCCGTGATGAAGGATTCATAAAGTGTATTTAAATTTCGAAAGACAAATTAAACTGCAAAGCAAAAAGGCATTGTTGTTATTACTTATGACGAAGTATCCATAACATGTCTCTTTCATATTAAACCTAATAACATAACAAAGATTACGATAATACACTCCCTCAACTTGTTCCAGACAGGAATTAGTGGAGTTGTTACAAGTATCAGATTGAAGAATTTCATCCATGCACTGGTGTGCTTTCAGATAGAGAGTTCAAGAGGATAAACTAGAATCATCATGTTCTCATAACAGCTCCATAACAATCACTCAATACACTTTTTATATAATGTAGACCCTGAAAATCATAGTTTGTTGTACTTTAAGTTCTACCCACTAAATAGTAAATACATCTCAAAGAGTTATTTTCTTTTAACATAAATGAGAGTTATGATTTTTGCTGATAATATGAAAAGTATGTGTTTGTGGTTAACATGAACATATTGCATCATGCCCCAATGTTCAATGCGCTTGTGGAACAGATGCTAGGATGTTTGAACAAATTGTAGGTAGGTCAACGTTATAAACAGGGCCCCTTGGCAGAGCAGTTGTCTAAAAAATCTAATCTATAAAAATAAATGTTTAAAAAGCAATACATAGATGTATGACCCTTATGAAAAACTAAAATGACCCTCTTTTCGTATTATGAAAAGCGACCCGTAATGAACAATATGAATAGTAACCCTATTTTAGTATTATGAATAGCGATACGACCCATGCATATAGCGCTAGCTAATACATCAACGGTGTGTTTATATAAGCGCTTTACAGATTCATTATTAGCACCCCGGTCATCGAAATCATGCAGGCTTACTTGCACACAATGTAAGCACATTCTCCACTCCATGTGGAGCAATCCGCAGCCAGGCGTTATTTTACAAGCGCTCATCCAACCATATCAACTTTCGCATCCCCATTTAAACACCTGGGTGGAATGTGGCAATTAAAGTACAAGTACACTCTAAAATAACCTAATTTCAATAGAAGCAGAAAAATCAGACAAACCAATCAAAAAAAGTTTGAGCAAAATCGATAATTAATAAGAAAGTTTTGAATTTTTCTTTTAAAGTAAGTAAAACTATAGAACAATGGAAATCACTACACAAATTGCCAATTTGGTTATCAGTTTGTGACGTCTTTTCCTCACTATTTATCAACTGCATTATATAGTTTAGTCCCATTAAATTCTCTTTTTATCCCCCGAAACTTGATTTCCCCATGCCTTTGCCCAGGTTATCATGATCTGTGTCATACTGCGTGCATGACCACGCACAAAATCTGTTATGAACTTTGAATAATTGATATTTTTTCTGAATATTGTATATTCACAATTATTGATTGTTATCCAAATAGTTTATCAAAAGTCACATTTTTCATGATTCAATTGAATTTGTTTTACTCTATATTTGTGCATCCTCACAAAAACATATTACTATTAAAGGCAGGCTTTACTACTTCAGCTAGAAGGAATTAGACCACCCAGCGAGCCAGCCAGGTCACTGTGACAGGTGGCTATCTCATTAACTCAGCTCTCATTTAACATAAGAAAAAGAGGATCATGAGGGACCAACAGGCACCGATTGTCGAAGTTTTCTATATAGGGGGAGCAAGTAGCTACAAGTAGGACAGTGTGCCTTTAATCTAACTTGGATGCTGGTGTGAAGAAATAAGATTCTTAGGGGGAAAATAGGAAATTTATATAATCAATATAAAGAAAACAATTAGTGGATAGTGAGGACATGGCGTCACAGACTCATGAGTGAATTTCAAATTTGTCTTGTGATTTTCACTGTTCCATATTTTTACAGATTTTTTCAAAAAATCATAACTTTCTTATTAGATATTCGATTTAGTTCAAACTTTTTTTTGAATGGTTTGTCCGATTATTCTGCTTCTATTAAAATTGAGAGTAATTTTTTTTTTTAGTGGACTTGGCCTTTGATGATTGTCAATTAAAGGATATTAGTGCCATGGCGGGACTCGAACCTTGTAACATGCTGTCGGGTGACTTGTCCACTAGACCACAACACCACGATCTATTGCAGCGACCCTTCTCTGGTATTATGAAGAGGGACCCTTCTGAATAACGACCCCCCCCCCCCCCCAATGTTTCCTGTCATGAGGGAGCTATAAAGGGAGAGGAGAAACACGAATAGCAAATAGTAAGGGATCAGAATGAAAGAAAAGAAACAGCATAATGACCTTCTTTACATTAATGTACTTCTAATATTTCACCAAGTTGAGTTCCAATGTGCATCATTAGGTAAACACTATAGTGAGCCGAGTATTTGGCAGGTGAATTATACAAATATGACCGTACCAAACAGTACCAGTACCAGTGTTATGTTATCCAAGAAATGTTTATGAGTGGGAATTCCCACCCCTAAGGAGGGGGGAGGGGGGTGGATCATAAACATTTAACTTATATAACGAATGGGATTGCTGAGATGTGCGTGGGTGAACGGTTCCCAAGGAACGCAAGTGCAAAGGTCAAACATAATACTTCCTGTTATGAATGTCAGTGGGGATTCCCCGGTGGGATTCCCACTCGATAAAAAGATAATACACACTCCTAAATGAAATTATACGCCTCATATTGAAAGCGATTGAAGCCCGGCCGTGCCTGTTTGAGCTGAGAAGAGCAATTTCATAAGCTTACACTTATGATAATGGCGGTGTCTGCTATGGAATCTGTGCGTGTTGTAAAATCAGCTACTTGTGGGCGAAGTTTGGTCTTCACTTCAAAATTTGCGAGGGGACAATGTATCCTTGAAGAATTGCCATATGCATACACACTGCACGACGACAAAAGGGGACTCTACTGTGATTTTTGCCTCACAAAATGGTGCTGATTTTTAATTTTGGTTATAATGTGATAATAAAAAGTGATAGGGTCTTTATGGCTTAATTTAGGGGTCCTATATAATATTGAAATGCAATTGCTTTCTTTTTATATATATTTTTTTTCTTGGCCAATTAGGTTAAATCCACTGAGTGTAGAATATCATTCACTTCACTTGAATGACAATATGATATTAAGAATAGGCCTAAATAATATTTATTAAGGCTATGTCTATGATTGAATTAAAAATCGTTTATTGTCATGATAATAATATAGATCTAATGTAGAAGTCTAATAATGATTAAACTAATAATTATTATCCTAACTTTTGAAATAAAAGCAAGCATTATTTCATCAAATTGCACAAAACTCAAAAGAGGTCAACATAAGTTTGTAACTTTTAGTAAAGTATCTACTCTTGTATTTTCATTTAAGGTATTTGTTTGGATCTAGTACAGGACTTCATTATGTTACATTTTAATGACATTCGTTTAGGTTTGAAACTGTTTTGAATATTTCAAGAATGATAATAACTAGACTTGAATTCGTCACTTTGACGAATTAGGTGATATGTATGCTAATGTTCAAGATTTTATATGATCTTTTAAAATGCTCTTCCCATTATGGTCTATCCATATATAAAGTTTTAACTGTGTAGCATTGATCATCATGGAGATATGGAAGATATATTGAAACTATATGACCAAATTTATCATTCCTGCAAAGTTCTACAGAATTTGCAATTTCAACTTTCAATTGTAAATTTCGACATAATTTGAGCACCTGATTAAAGAAAAGGTGGCACATTTTTCATAGTCCATAGTCTCAGCAATAAAATACCACAATTTGGGGGAAAATAGCGCCTAGATGACGTCACGATAATTTTGAGTCACTGAAAAGTCATACAGTTCTAAGTTAGACTAATATCTATCATCATGGTAAGTTTCATGATAATGGTTTTATTCATTCTTGAGATATCCTGCAAACAAATTATGGCAGAATAATAAATAAATAAATAATAAAGAAAAATCTTGACGAAATCAATAGATGATACGTATTACTACGTACGTATCACCTAATAATGTTACTAAAAAAGGAGCTTATAAGGCGCTTACCACTAGAATCAAGTCAACTCCAATATTCATCTTACTTTTAGTTCAACTCTTAAGAAGTGTACCAGATGCAATGATGTAAGCTACTGCAATAAATCATGTCAGGTAAAAACAAATCTTTCGTTTTGGTTCCCTCCAACACATAAACCCATTACCTATATAAGAAATGAATGATTCCTGAATTAAGTCTATGGAAATATTAAAATCTAAGCTGTCAGTGTCCCAGTGAGTTGAGATAACTCTAAAAATTAAAAAAAAATCATAACATTTTCCCAGAGATAGAGATATTGTAGTAAAATATGTCCATCTCTGGGAAAATATTAAGATTTTTTAGTTAAGTTGCTCAGCATTAATTATGACAAAGTTTACGGAGTTTGGGGCTATGTTATATTTAGTATGGTTGGCCATTAGTGACAGAATGGTTGTTTGAAATTAGTGGTAATTGCAGGAACTAGTATGCAAAAATAATCAAAAGAAATAATCAATCAATCCTGATATGTCTTTACTTATATGAACAGTTTAAAGAAGTGATATTTACACATAATTATGATCAAAAAGGTATTAAAGATTACGAGTATCTTTAAAATGAACCGGTAACATTGTTGAAGGTTGATGAAAAAAAAATGCGTAATTTTTGTATGAAATGTTACTTATTATATATATATTCCTTCTACTGTACTAACCCTCTAACATGCACAAAATTCTCTAACCACAAAAATATTTATTGTTTTGTTTGAAGGCGTCACTGTACAACATACCTTAACAGTAGTAATTTACCCAACCGTTTTTCCATGAGAATAAGACATAAAACAGGCTTTTAAAAAAATCTGTCAACACTTAATTGTTTGGAATGGTATATAAATCCAATTTATTGCTTTGTGACGATTTACATTCACCTGAAATTTAATTAAATCATAATGATATAGATCAGTTTTTCGCAATTTGATCATTAATAATGGTCTGTTACCACTCAAACTGTTAGATTATCTTTAATTGTACATCTAGCATTGAAGTCACTAACTTAGCACCATTTTCTCTCATCTGAACAATGTTACCAAGTCCCTTTAATGGCTGTTGGTAGACTAACTTAGATTGTCGTTTGATACGGCTTACATTCTTATTTTGATGTTTGTACCCCGTGCAGCGAGGAGACTGGGCAAGATGTCACAAGCAAGACTGCAAAACACTGAAGAGAATACACCCCTTGCCATATTCACACGTAGTTCAGCTTCTATCTCATATTATCCACAAGCAAAAACGATCCCCTCCATGCACTCAGGATGATGAGGATTGTTTTCCAACCACCGTAGACCAGTTGGAATCCCATCATGAGAAGCTGAGCGATACAAGAAGGAAGGACTTTGAGACATTGTTGTTTTCGTTGAAGTATTACGAAGATGATGTCTTACCCGAGCCAAGCACCTTGTTGAAGATGTTTGGGGCGACTATCTGCAATTACTTCTCAATAATGGATAATGATCTGATTGGCATTGCAGTTGGGATATACTTGAGGTGATTTCAGTTACTATGATTGATGATTGTTTTACCTGACTCTAGGAAAGAATTCATATGCTTGTAAGTAAACAACCAGGGGATCGACAGCATTAAGTCCACTGCAATAATAACCTACTTTCAATAGAAGCAGAAAACTCAGACAAACCAATCAAAAAAAGTATGAGCAAAATCGGATAACTAATAAGAAACTAAAAAGTTTATGAGTTTTTAATGACATGAAAAACTTTGAAAATCACAAGACAAATCGGCAACACAATCATGGGTCTGTGACGTCATTGCCTCACTATCCACTATTGTTTTTTTATATAATACTTTGTCATAATTAATGCTGAGCAACTTAAAAAAAAAAAAAATCTTTATATTTTCCCAGAGACGCAGTGAGTATCTTTATAGTTATCCAATTTTCCTCAAACTTTTTTCCCCCCGTTTCTCCTGTTTTTTCTAAATCTATTGAAAGCAAGTTTTTGATTAGTGGACTAAGCCTTTGATGCCTTATGCTACGTTTACAATATGTTCCCGGCGGCCACGGCAACCCCGTTTCGAACCACCGTGGACGAAACGGGATTGACGTGACACAATGCGGGGGACCGTATGGGCGAACGTGACAGCCCGTGATTGCCGTGGATACCGTGTCAGATTTTAAAACTGTCAAAAAAATTGCCAGGGCAGTCACGGTGCGGATGAGAAACCTAGTAGGCCGTAGTAAAACGGGGTGAACGTAACACAATGTAAAAGTACTTAATAGGCCGTCACAAAACTTGGAGGTGGTCCGTAGTGGGACGAGAGGCCCGCACATTCCCCGGCATCTTACGGTCTTTTCAACGTTTAGTGCACGTTTTGTCACAGTTGCTTCACGGTTGCTGCGCATTTTGTCCCGTTTTGCCACGTTTTGCCAAGGTTTGCCCCGGTTTTCACGGCAGGCCAGGGTGTATGGTAGCCGTTTTGTCGCGTTTAATCACGGCGCATCCCGGCGTCCGACGGTTTACGGGCCCGGCGCGTTGCGTTCTGACACGGCGCACACGGTCGGGAGGTAGTATATAAAAGACGGGCGCGGCAGGAGCTTCATTCGAGTCTGAGCAATCGACGACACATTACTGCATCTACAATACGTAGACAGAAGGCCAAGCTATGCCACCGAAGAAGCCAAGACGTTCGAAGGCTCTCCGTCCTGCACCACCCCCACCACCATCAGTAGTAGAGGAGAAGGAACAGCCTGAAGATCCTCGCCGTTCACCCCTGCCAAATGAAGAAGAGCATACTGCTGTTGCTGACCCAGTCCCTGAACAGGAACCTGAACCTGAGGCTGGGGAGGCTGAGGAAGACGCACCAGCTAGGAGGAGGGCAGTCCCCAGGTTCGTCACCACCTCTACGGAGGATGAGAAGGAACTCATCATTGACTTCTTCCAGCAGCATCCTACGCTGTACTTTATTGCTTGGGAGGCCTTCTTTTCATACCGTGGGCACAACCGTGCTCCAAAGCTGCCCGGCGTCCACGTTGCATCCGTAGAAAGCCTTGAAAGAACGTGAAAAACGTGTCAGACCTTGATCAGAACGTGAGAAACGTGAGGGACCCCATCAGAACGTGACGGGCCGGGAGGGAATTAACTGGCATCCATGGTAGCCCGGGGCCGAACCGTAGTGCGCCTTGGAGCCTCCGGGACTCAGCAGCCCCTTTCCCCGCACGATCCGTCACGGATACCGTGAAAGACCGTGAGAAAACTTGACAAGACCTTATGCTACGTTTACACTATGTTCCCGGCGGCCACGGCAGCCCCGTTTGCCCGAAACGTAGTGCGCCGTGGGATTCAAGTTTTGTTACGTCTTGCCAAGTTTTCTCACGGTCTACCACGGTATCCGTGACGGGCCGTGGGGGGAAGGGGATGCTGAGTCCCGGAGGCTCCAAGGCGCACTACGGTTCAGCCCGCGTTCTACCACGGATGCCAGAACGTTCCCTCCCGGCCCGTCACGTTCTGATGGGGTCCCTCACGTTTCCCACGTTCTGATCAAGGTCTGACACGTTTTTCACGTTCTGTCAAGGCTTTGTACGGATGAAACGTGGACGCAGGGCAGCTTTGTAGCACGTTTGTGCCGGCGGTATAAAAAGAAGGTCTCCCAAGCAATAGCAATCATGGTATTCTGAGACCTCGCGTTGTGTCAGACCGTAGTAGAACGCAACGCACCGTAGCGTGCCGGGCGCTTAGACCGTCCCACTACGGACCACCCCCAAGTTTTGTTACGGCCTATTACGGACTGTCACGTTTTGTTACGTTCACCCCGGTTTATTACGGCCTACTAGGTTTCTCATCCGCACCGTGACTGCCGTGGCAAATTTTTTGACAGTTTAAAAATCTGACACGGTATCCACGGCAATCACGGCCTGTCACGTTTGCCCATACGGTCCCCCGCGTTGTGTCACGTCAATCCCGTTTCGTCCACGGTGGCCTGAAACGTGGTTGCCGTGGCCGCCGGGAACATAGTGTAAACGTAGCATAACAAAACTTGAACAAAAAGAAAAATATTGCCAAAATCCCACGGCGCACTACGTTTCGGGCAAACGGGGCTGCCGTCGCCGCCGGGAACATAGTGTAAATGTAGCATACCCAAGGGCACAAGCATATTGACCTGATTTTGAACCTATGACCTCCCGGCTACGGGACTACTGCTCTACCACTGAGCCGTTGCGCCTCTTTTGATCTATATGACAAGTAATCAGGAACACTTTCTGAAAGAATTAGCTCACATGATAAGGTGCTGAAAGAATTATCTGGAAACAAATGATGTGTCCATTTTCGAATTCCAAAGGGAAACAAAATGTAAATAAAGTTCCAATTTTCAGCAAGCTCTTTTATTAAAATTTAGAACTGTAGAAATACAAATGTTGTGTGAATAACTGATTAAATCTTATTAGTAAACTTCATTCATATACATGAATATTTTGTTTAAAAATACATATATATATATATATATATATAAACAAGTAAATCAACAATTGGTATAGTTTCTCGAGTAATCGCAAATTAACAATAAACATTGTAGCTTGTATATACAGTGGTAAATGATATTATAACAAATAATTATATAAACAAGAAAGTCAACAAGTTGTATAGTTTCTCGAGTAGTCCCAAATTAACAATAAACATTGTAGCTTGTATATACCATGGAGATATAAATAATATTATAACAAATAATTATATGACACGTACCAGCCTATGTTTGACAATAAAGATAGATAACAAATGGGAATGATAATTTCGATATTGATGTTCTAAAAAAGAACAGAAGTGATCAATTATATTTTCATTCTCAAGTTTCATAATGATTACAAATTTCTCTTCATCGCTAAGATCTTTAAACTGTCCAGATATTTCAGCAATTTTATTGAGAAATACCCCCCCCCCCCTTTCAGCCTTGTATACAGTACAATCCGTTATGGTATAACATTCTTCCCAAACCCTTCCCAAGTTATAGTCATTACAAGTTCTTAAATGTGAAGGTATTTTTTCCGGACGTCTATATCTTCCAGTTTCTATCGGTAGGCTATGTAAACTTATTCTAAATCGGCAGATATTTGTTCGTAGTTTACGGTTTTTAACTATGTTTGTATAGCTCTGCTTTAATAGATTATATGTTCTCAATTTATTGCGTTCATTGCCATTTACACAATCACTACATATATCCATCAAGAACTGGCGGTGTTAAATGTCTTCCATTTTGGTTTCTATTTCTTCTCCAACTACTATATCACTATCGGTAATGTCATCCAATTCTAAACAATCATAATTTTCATCATTTTAATTGTATGTAAAGCATGATTCCATTGGCATAATATATTAGTACCTTGTCTCTTCCCAATCCAATATATTCATTTTTTTGAAAATAAATGTGTCATTATTATGTTTTCAAGAGCATCTATGTTGAACCATTCCTGTGATCCTAACTGTGCATGGGTGAGTGATGGGAGAAAACTTCGAATCAGGACCATTAAAGATGTCAAAGAAGGAGAAGAGGTAAGACCACATATTTGTTCTCAAATACCACATTTATTTTATTCCTTATGTTCTGGATATGCACTTGAAAAAAAATACCCTAAATATTTTTTAAGAAATGTAATTGACTGTTGCTTTATATGGATTCTGTCAGGATCATTACCAACTCATTTCACCATACAAATGTTCAGGGTTAGTCTACCAGTGTTTATAAGATTTTAATCAGCACACCCAAATGGTTCAGTTTATATGTGGGAATCCAAAGATACGATTATATCAGTTCTAGATTTTGCAGTGAAGGACGCTTCAGCTTTTATGAAGAACTGATGTATATTCTTAAGATTCTTTAGACATAATTTTGTCACAATTTTGGAAGATATCACTATGGTCAACATCCATAAATTTGCTGGTAAGTCTGGTCATATGAAAAAGAATCAATCAAATCTATGAACTTGAAAAACATGATGGTTTTACTTGTACATGTATTATAACAATAACATGTGCTTATAATTTAAGATCCTTACAACCGGTTTTCGTTTGTTTTTAGTGTACAATCACCTATGTAGATATCATGGACCCAACTAAAAAGAGACAGGCTGACCTGAAAGAGAGATATCAATTCACCTGCAAGTGTGTGAAATGCATCGAAGAAATCAATGTGAGTCTTTACTTTACAGTTTCATTCTTTGTTTTACTCTTCTCAAATGCTGCAAAATATCCTGAAAATAAAAACTCCAGTAGTATACCGGTAGGTAGTTTTCTTTTAAACTACATGTACTAGATATCTTTGAATTTGAATTGTATTGATGGTCTCGGGATAAGGTCTGCGGTTTCATTAATCATTGTGCACCATTATCACTTCCAATGTTCAAAGTAGTTACACAATATATTTGGCAATACTAAGATCCACGAACTGCTTTACTTTCTATTATTACTCAAATTTGAAATAATGATATAACTCTCAAGTATCCTATGTTCATGCGTACTTTAGCCAAGGCAGTTGATACCTGCATGAATCTATTCTCAGTAATGCACTGGATAATAATTGATTTCCAAAGTCCATATAGAAATTGTTTCACATAATATAACATTTCTTATTGTCAAGCTAATCTTTTTTACATTCTAATTAAATGTTTTCTGTATATTTCAGGCAGATGAAGGTTTAGGTGAAGATCTCCGAGGCCGTCTGAATAAATCCTGGGAGCAAATACAGGATCTATTGGAGTTACAAGATATCCTTTGTTGACATTTCAAGTTTATCTAGAAAATGAGTATACTGTGCGTCCCAGAAAAACCGAAACCGAGAATTATCGATGTTTTATCATAAATTTATCACAATTATAATTGATAAGTGACACATATTGGTAAAGCTTAGATCCTCCTCTTTCACTTGATGCGATTCATATAATGCATATTTCACGCATGAGTGATTAAACTCAATTTAAAGTCATTTGGCGGACGGTATCTGAATGTCAAAGAGAAAATAACATTTCTAGAAAGTTGAGTTACCGCCCTTTCATATGACACCTCAATCAGGAAAAATGAGCTAGGAATAACAAAGTTCTTTTTGTTTAAAGTAGTGCTTGCATTTCCATAATTTTATTAAACGAATTCGTTTTCACTTGCTGCCTGCCGTAGCAACAAACGGAATTAACAAAGGACTTAACTCCGTTTCGTTGACAATCAGCCGAAGACTAAAGACTTCATGCATGGCCTGATTGTCAATGAAACGGAGTTAGGTCTTTCGTAAATTCGCCAAATAACTTGTTGGTTTCCTCTCTTCAAATTGATTTTAATCACTCATGCGTGAAATATGCATCATATGAGTTGCATTAAATAATAGAGGACGTTCTCAGCTTTCCAAATATGTGTCATTTATGAATTATAAATGTGAGTAAGTTATGATAAAGCATTGATAATATTCTCGTTTTTTTTCTGGGACGCACTGTATATTGCCATATTACCTGTCAATAAGTTTTTAGGTCGCTTTTTTATTTGCTCAATTTACATTATACAAATATCCTTCATTGTACTTTATTTTTCTATCTCGATTCCTTTTTCCATTTTTCTACTTGTATATGTCTGTCTTCCCCTCTCTCTCTCTCTCTCTCTTATACTCTTTCCTCTATATTCCCAACTCACTGACTACATGTTAGTCCTCCCATTTTCTTTACCGGTATTCACTTTGCTTATTTCCAGTAATATCACATTTGTATTTCTCTCCCTTATTATGTGTCCTCTCATTTTGTCTGTATACATTCTTCCATGCTTTTTGTCCCCATCTCAATTGGTTTTCATTGCATATGGGTTGACTCTTTCTTAATGGTGAGATTTACATTGGACCAAAGTGCTACAGCTGTGTGAACCCTACCTAAAGCTGATGGACTCTTCCAACAGTCTTCTAGCAAATCATCATCTCCTGGTGAAGATCAGACAAGGGGCAATTAGAGCATGCGTACACATACAAGAATGGGAAAAATCCGTTGAGATGGGACAACTGAACATAGAGTCTTTAAGGTAATAACGGGTTCGTTATACACATGACACAGAACAATTAGTGCTATTCAGATTAGATGTGTGTTTTTTTTTTAATAATGAACAGACTGTAAATGGTACATTAATTAAGCTTTTATGAACACTGATCAGACAGAGGAAGTGTGATATTTCAGCAGATCTTCCCCCTAATAATGCTTGTTAACACATGACGTTTGGCGTTGTGTGGTAAACTCTTGCTGGAATATACTAAGGAATAAGATACGGGTGGATGCCATGCATTTGTAATTGTACAAGGGGGTAATTTTGCAGGGGTATTAATGTCCTTGAGGGGTAATTGTCTAGGGGCTAATTGTCCTAGAACCCACTGTACATTTAGCAAAACCATAGTTTTATGACTGAATGTGTATGTTATTTGATTTAGATATCACTATGGACCATACAGTGCCTCGCTGGGGACTCACCTCCTGGGCATGGGTAATGTACTGCTTCAAATGGGGAGACTTCAGGAGGCCAGAAAATATCTCACAGAGGTAACTATTTTCCTATAAATTGGTGGGACTGTCTTCTAATGAAAACTACAATAGTGGTTATTTTCATTTTTGTACAGAAATTGTTTCCCTTTTTTCCTTCATTCAGCTCTTTTGACAACATTTGACTTTGCAGCTGAGTAGAAGAGTAGAATTGTGCATTTATTTACGTTTACTATTTAAGGGATAGTTGAGTTTTGTTGCAGAGGGCACTACTCGAAATATTTTTTGTGAGATAATGAAAAACTGAGTTTCAAATTTGAAAGAATACACAATTTAGATGACAAAATCATCTTTGTTTGATAATAATCAGTTAAGAGACGGCTGAAATATCCATACATATAACAATTTCTAATATTTCTGGTGCCCTACAAATAAATATATGGTTAATTTTGAACCAGCCGTTGAAAAGCGAGATAGCGCCTTATTCGTTTTATATTCCAGTCAATGTAAATATTGGCTTTTTGTTGGCTTTTACGTGTTGGTTATAATACGCACAACCAGTATTGTTATTATTAACTAATCAATTAATTAACGATCACCGTACTTGTTTAAAAGTTGAGGTGAATTGGTATGATCGTATTCAATCTAAATTCACACATTTGGGGGTCTAAAATTACCTTCATATCAGTTTCAGATACTAAAAGGGCACTAGAAATGTCATAAATAAAAAATAAGAGCAAAAACCATGCACTTCGAAGGCATTTGCGGTCTTAAACAAGAACTCAACTATCCCTTTAAGTAAGTGCAGGCATTAGTTTATCTGTAAGGATGGTGTGTATGGGTTGGGGGTGGGGACGATGATGATTAAATGCCATATACGATACACAGTGAAATCCAGAATCATCTGAGGTACCCCATCCCATTTGACCACCCTGTTATAGAACAAGTGAACAAGCTTTATACATAATTGTTTGGGCTGAAAAAGGCTCATAAACCCCCAGTAAATGATAAGCAAGTTTGTTGTTTACTGGACATTCTTATTCATAACCTAAATCGTGTTAGTAGCATTGATACAAATTAGCTAGGACAATAGATGAACAAGTTCACAATCAATAAGGAAGGAATTTGAATTACTTTAATCCATGCTTTTACATAAAGACAAATCTAGAGGAAGTGACCTTGTTAGCATGCGAGGAACATGTAGGATGATGTAGATCAATATCTTCTTCTCATCACATCAAACCAATAAATGCATCCTTTTATGTCATCAATTTGTATGAAAAAAATGTCTCTTATATTTGTGATCAACTTGTTGATGATCTCTCGCTTTAAACTCTCCTTAAACTTTTCCTGTCTTTTTGTGCTTCTGATTTAGGAGGAGGTTAATTTGATACCAAAGGTGTTTGTTATTTATTTATTTTTTTTAAATTTCATTTTTTTTTTCAGGCAAAGAGTGTTTTGGAGGTAACGCATGGTCCACAGCATTCATTCATGATGACACCGTTCGTGCAAAAACTACTTGATCTGTAGATGTAGATAATGCATGGCTAACAACTTTCCCGAAGGTCACCCCTTCTGTCTGTAACTGCAGATAACACGTCATGTCTAGCGTCAGTTACTGATGTCAACATAAATACGAGAAATTTCTCTGTAGCAGTAGATGACACGGGAAATACTGAAGATGGACGGACAGATCAACAGTGAGAATAAGATCGAAAGGAAACAAGAAGAGACATATTAAACAAGTTTGAGAAGCTTGTATGCATACAATTAATTCGAAATGTAGTCATTGTAGTTTGTTCGACCCAGTTGGGTAAATGTGTAGGACTCGTTGTTCCTTGAAATGCACTGTGCGCTGATTAATTACGGCTGCCGGAGCTAAAGCTAGGATAATAATATTTCCAAAACTCTTTGGACGCGCATAGAGACGTTATGTAATGTGATATGCGCTATACAAGAACCGAATATTATTATTATTACTTAATTTATTTCTTGTACATTTAGAATTTTGAACACCAGGGCCCTGTTTCATAAAACTTGTTTTCAATAACATGTTACAAGCTACTAAAATCCTTGCATTTGATTGGCTGTGAGCAAATTTGTCATAGATAGGCTATGTGGCAGTTGTTATTGATAACAAGTTTAATTAAACAGGGCCCAGTTCTATTCAAGGAGGTGTTGGAACCATTACCTCATTCAACGTCTATTTCTTCATTTAAACAATTGTATTTTCATTGATGTACTAAATAACCAGTGATGCCATGAATGTTTATATACATGTGTTGTATATATTGTTTACCCATTTGAATAAAAATGTACTATGCATGTCGTTAATTAGTCATATATCGTTATGGGAGTTGCTTGTGAGTGCTTATATTACTTGTTATAGTTCTGGTTTATTGATGATATATGTAGTAGTAGTAGTAGGAGACTTTATTGGATAACTTGTTTAGCACAGGGTTATTCTGCTACAAGGTCACGAGAGATGTTTTTATGTTTTGCCTTATTTCATTGTTATTTTGTATGTTACCATACAGGACCAATGTGAAAAACAGCTTTGGCCGACATTGTCATCCTTTATAAATAAGTTTAAATAAATTAGGAATAAAAATGTTTGAGAAATAATATAATGGCTAGAGATATACCATTCATTCTGTTGCTAGAGAATTTTGAATCGGGGGGGGGGGGTAATGCTAGGTCAGAAATATGTTGTCAACAAGTAAAAGAGAAAATTTCCTCTAATTGAAGAGATAATTGGTACTTCCAAAGTCTGACGCCATTCAAAGGAACTCTAAAAAGATTGTACATGTATTTGTTTATCTTTTTACAGGTGTATTTTAAAATAAATTATTATGTCACTCAAGCTGGAAACTTATGGAAAACAGAAGAAAAAACAGCACCTATTTATGATACACAATAATCGAAATTCCACTTAATGTCTTTTATGTGAAGAACACTTTACTTGTACACAGACATGCTGTATAATCATGCTTTAATAAATAAACAGCAATCTTGAACTGTTATGCTTTAAAAAATATGTATTTGTTTTTAGAGTATAAGAGAGAGAGAGAGAGAGAGAAGGACAGAGGGGTGGGGGAGACAATTGGATCAGATATTGAGAGCAAGAGATATTCAGATGCAATTTTGGTATCAGAGAAATACACAATGTCAGTCATAATTGTAAGAAAGGAATTATAGGAAGTGGAGACACGAGAAGAGGAAGAGTAAACAAAACTCATTCAAAGTATGAGAATCAGAGGAGATGGATATATAGAAGTCTTGTACAAGGACAAGTTTACCACATAACTACACACATGTACAGTGAAAGAAACAAGAGTGAAAATGAAAGTTGATGGACACACTAACAAGTCAAACAGACTGCAGATTTAGTTCCTTTCAATAAATTCCATCATACCAATATAACTCATCAATCTTGCATCAAGGGTTGTCATGTGCTCATCCTATTATCTTTTATAACGTGAACTTTTTTCCAATCATTGAAATTATCATTCGCATAATTTTTCACCTTTTGACCATTTTCCTCATGCTCTTTTCTTGTCACTTTCAATATTCCTTTCTCACTTTCATTTTCTTCTCCTTGGTGACTCCTCATCAGTCATTCTTTCTCACTTTCATTTTCTTCTCCTTGGTGACTCCTCATCAGTCATTCTTTCTCACTTATTTTGACCCTTTCCCATTCACTCTTAATTTTGTTTACTATTTCTCACCTTCCGTTCCTTGTCTCAATTTTTCTAACTTTTCCAATATTATTGTTCACTCTTCATATTGTGTTTTGATTTTTAACTCTTCTTTCACTTCCTTTTTCGTTTCATTTTTTCCCTTCAGTTCTGAATACATAATAAAATTAGTACACCTGTAGATATACATGTACACGGGGAAATATAAACTTATTTAAAACAGAATTAGCCGGGGTTCCAAGTTAACCGAAACTACACTTTCTTTCACTCACTCTGTGAGCTACTTTTTAATCTCGTCTTTTTTCCCCACTTTCAAGGCTTTCAGTACATCCACGAGCTTATAATGAAATCAATAAATGAACATAGATTCACAACTGAAAGACTTCACTTTCTGAAATTTATTTTTGATCATTTTGTTGTAACAAATATAAATATTCAATTGCCTATTTTCATATATTAATTAGGTGATCTGCAGCAGATCACCTCTTGATTTTGTCAGAATTTTTCTCTTTCTTTACGTTTTTTTGTGGCAGATTTTCTAAAAAGGCACCATCCAATCACCGTCAATTTTAACCACTATTTCCCCTTGATCACAGGGCCGAGCTGTATGAGCCGAGTGGTCAAATAGATCAGTAAACAGTTGTGATTGTTTGTAAAGTACCATCTAGCGATCATTTCTTCGTCATTCAGATCAGATCAGATCACCAAATCTAGTTATCTGTGTCTCAATGAATTATCTTTATAAAATTGGAAATGTCTGACGTTCCCGCTTTCTAGTCTAAGGAGTGTACAGCAGCCGCTCTAAAACTGAGCTTTAATATTTCAGCAGTCTTCTGAAGATGTTCGGCTGATTGATAATGAAGTATCCAGATGAATCATTCCAAACCTGCAGCAATGGAAATATTAGAAAAATACAGAAAACAGTGAGAAACTAACACATTTTCTTGAAGCTGGCCATCCCCAGTATCTAATCACCACTTGCAAGAAAGCACGATACAAGCCCTATTGCATTTACTACAATCATGCTTTACTATTGTTATTTTTCTTTAAAAAAACTTGATTTAATAGATCTCAAAAAATCTTGGTCTGTTGTTGTTTTGTTTGTTTGTTTTTTTTTTCTTTCAGAAATCAGATACAAATATTATACATAGTAAAATATGAAATGAAATATTTATACATGTACATAGACAAAAATCGGTGGAAAGCCAAATTCAGCAGTGTTTATAGAACACTTATTATTCTCCCTTGGGGTCCTTACACTACAATATTAACATAAAAGCGACTAAAAGCAGGATAGAAACGAAACATAAATACAAGTTTTTTTTAAATACCAAAGTAACAGAATTCAAAAATAATATCATACTCACGCACACACACAATCATAAAACATAATGTTGACCCTAAAAACAATATTTTGTTGTACATGGACTTATTAAGTAGCCTATCTACCCCCTAATTACATCTCAAAGAGTTGTTTTCATTTGAGATAAACTTATGATTAATCATGGGCCACGTGTCTCGACTACATTACACCTCAAAATTGTTCCAAAATTTTATTATACACACAAAATTTACTTCAGTAATGAATACGGGCAAAGGATAACATGTCCGTACCTTGTCTGATTAAAGTTCTTCAAGACCCATGAGCTCCAGAATCCTCAAAATAACTTTCTGGAACGTTTATGTATGGGGGAGGTACCGTCGATAATGTCAGACTGTTGGGTGCACACAGAGCTAACAGTAACAGAGAGAAGGAGTTATCTGAACAAACCCTCAACACAATGCATTCACATTCCCCGATTGTCATTTTTAATTTCAGTTTGATTTATTGGCCATGCGTGCACAATGAAAAAAAAAAGCACAATTGGCATACAAATCATTCACTGGCTGTTTCCATAAAAATATCGAGTTCCATATTAGCATATATTAACATGGAATCAGAAAATAGAATAACAAATTACAAATACATATATTTATAAGACATAAACATGAATGATTTAACATAGCAATACGTATGCATCACAAGGTAAACAGGAAATAGAAAACACGCCGCAGTTAGAGACAACAAAGCCCAGTAGTAGAATATATTACATGTACAGGGAAAGCAGAAAACATCAAATAGTTAGAAAGAGAGAAGCAAAGGTAATAGGAGCGGGGATAGGAGAAAACAGAACAAAGTAAATAATTGTAGTAAGAATGAGAGAAAGTCGAACGAAGCAAGAATTGACCAGAGTAGAGGCAAAGGTTAAAACATGATCGAGGGAGCTATAGGGAGAGGTGGTAGAGAGAGGGGGAGCATGTACGCACAAGAGATTAGGACGTGAGAGATCAGAATGGAAGAAAAAGAGATGGAGGAAAGGGGGAAAAAGGATGAAATAAAAGTAGCAAGATATATGCATAATACAGCATTATGACCTTCCTTGCAATCTACTTAGATATTTCACCAAGTTGATTTTCAATGTGCACATCCCACAATGAATAACATATATTAGGTATGCATAACCCGAGTATATGACAAGCGAATTATACAAAAATAACCGTACCAAACAGCACCAGTACCAGATAATAACAGTTTTATATTATCCAAGAAATATTTATGAGTGGGAATTCCCACCCCTAAGGGGAACAAAAATCATACTCATTCACCTTGTTATAACGAGAGGGATTGCTGAGATGTGCGTGACTTGGGTGATCGGTTAAGCGGAAGGATCACAAGTGCAAAGGTCAAACATAATACTTCCTGTTATGAATGTCACTGGGAATTCCCCGGTGGAATTCCCACTCGATAAAAAGATAATACATACTCATACAACTGCATAGCTGAATGAAATGTTGTAATCAAAGCGATTGTAGCCCGGTCGTGCCTGTTCGAGCTGAGAGGAGCAATTTCATAAGTTTACACTAATATAATGGCGGTGTCTGCTATACCTATGGAATATGTGCGTGTTGTAAAATCAGCTACTTGTGGGCGAAGTTTGGTCTTCACTTCAAAGTTTGCGCCTGGACAATGTATCCTTGAAGAATTGCCATGTGCATATACAGTGAAGAACGACAGAAGGGGGAGCTTCTGTGATTTTTGCCTCAAAAAATGGTATTGATTTTTATTTTTTTGTTTTAATGTGATAGTAAAATGTGCTTTAGTCTAACTATATTTTCTTTTCCACATCACTTCCACTGAGCAAAAAATATCATTCATTTCACTTGAATGACAATATGATAATGAGAATAATTTTTATTTATTAAATACTATGTGTATGACTGAATTAAACATCGTATTTTATGATCATGATAATAATTAATCTAATATATAGAAGTCTCAAATTAATGACGTTACGTTTTAGTTAATGCACTTTTTAATGTATTCCCCCTCCCCTTCCCTTCTATCTTTTTTTGTTTTCTTCTTTTGTATTGGTGTTTAGATTATCTAGGTTTTCCTTTTCCTTTTTTCTTTTCTCAACAATACAATGTATACTTGTTAAGGGGTTGTCGTTCGTAAGGCTAATTGCCCTTTTTGTTAACCCCACATTCCCATAAATTTTGTTTGCTCCTTCCCTTTGTATTTTTCTTGTAATCGATCTTTTATCTGTATGCCATGTTTGTATGTTTTTATGTTTTTTAATGATTAAATTAATCATTATTATGAAATAAAAGCAAGCACTTTTTCATCAAAATGAACAAAACTCAAAAGAGGTCAACATAAGTTTGTAACTTTTAGTAAAGTTTCTACTCTTGTATTTTGTATTTGTTTGGATCTAGTACAGTATTGCATTAAGTTACATTTTAAAGACATTCGTTTAGGTTTGAAACTGTTTTGAATATTCAAGAATAATTATAATAATAATAATATAATGATTTAATAATAATAATAATAATAATAATAATAATAATAATAATAATAATAATAATAATAATAATAATAATAATAAAAACGGTGTTTTCATCTCCAATTTTCATCTTACTTTCAGTTCAACTCTTAAGAAGTGTTCCAGATGCAATTATGTAAGCTACTGCAATAAATCATGTCAGGTAAAAACAAATCTTTTGTTTTGGTTTCCTCCAATATAAACCCATTGCCTATATATATTCGAGATGAATGATTCCTGAATTAAGTCTGACTCTATGGAAATAAGAAAATTCGAGCAGTCAGTGTCTCAGTGAGTTAAAATAACTTTTAAAACATCAACAATTTCTTAATAATTTCCCTGAGATTGACATATTTTAGTAAAATAGCTCCATCTCTAGGTAAATATAAAGACATTTGTTGTGAGCAATATGACATTTTATGGAGTAAGGGGCTATGTTATATTAAGTATAATTGGCCATTACTTTATTAGTGACAGAATGGTTGTTTGAAATTAGTGGTCATTGCATGAACTATGCAGAAATAATCAACCCCAATGTGCCTAAACTTCTATGAACATTTAAATGAAAAGATATGTATACATAATTTTGATTTTAAAAGTGTTAAGGATATCGAGTGTCTTTAATGGCTGTAATTGGTAGACTCTTTTAGAATAATTATGTCCTTTGGTATTGCTTACATTCTTATTTTGATGTTTGTGTCCCGTGCAGATAGGAGACTGGGCAAGATGTCACAAGCAAGAGTGCAAAACACTCAAGAAAATACATCCCAGGCCTCCAGACTTACACGTAGCTCAGCTTCTGTCTCAACTCATCCGGAAGCAAAGCAAGTCTGCTCCATGCACTCAGGAAGATGAGGATTGTTTCCCAACCACCGTAGACCAGTTGGAATCAAATCATGAAAAGCTGAGTGATACGAAAAGGAATCATTTTGAGAGCTTGTTGTGTGTATTGAAGCAGTTCCTTGAAGAGGACGTCTTAGCTGAGCCAAGCAGCTGGTTGAAGATGTATGGAGCGACTCTCTGTAACGGCTTTTCAATAATGGATTATGGACTTTATGGTCTGATTGACATTGCAAATGGGGTATACTTGAGGTGATTTCAGTTACTATGATTGATGTTTGTTTTACCTGACTCTAAGAAAGAATGTATATGCTGGTAAGTAAACAACAAGGGGACCGATTGCTTTAAGTCCTCTCCAAGAGACTTGGTAATGAGGATTAACGCCTCACCAAAGGGCACCAGCACATTGACTTGGTTTTGAACCTGGGACTTCCGGGTACGAGGCCACTGCTCTACCACTTACTGATTGTATGTTGTACTTGTATGTTAAGCATGATTCCATTTAGCATAATATACTAGTACCTTTTCTCTCCCCAATCCCATAAAGATTGAATTTCCTTTATTTGTTTTGTTTGTATAAATAAATGTGTCAATCGTGTCTATTTTAACTCTTGTATTATGTACCTGTTTTTAGAGCATCTATGGTGAACCATTCTTGTGATCCTAACTGTGCACTGGTGTTTGATGGGAGGAAACTTCAAGTCAGGACTGTTAAAGATGTCAAAGAAGGAGAAGAGGTAAGACCGCATGATTATTTTTTCCGGATTTGCACACAAGATAAAAAAAAATGCCCGAAGATTTAAAAGAAAGTTCACTGACTGTTGCTATACAGTGCGTCCCAGAAAAACGAAACCGAGCAGTATCGATGTTTTATCATAACTTAATCACAATTATAGCTAACAAATTACACATATTTGGAAAGCTTAGATCCTCCTCTTTCATTTGATGCAACTCGTACGATTCATATCTGTGCACACAGAAGACGAAAGACCTGATGCATGGCTGATCTTCAACGAAACGGAGTTAAGTCTTTTGTCAACTCTGTTTGTTGCTACGGCAGGTAGCCGGCGAGAACGAGCTCGTTTTGTGATCAAATTATGGAAATGCAAGCATTACTTTAAACAAACATAACTTTATTATTTCTGGCTCATTTTTCCTGATTGAGGTGTCATATGAAAGAGCAGACATTGAACTTTCTAGAAATGTGATTTTCTCCTTGGAATTCAGATACCGCCCGCCAAATGACTTTTTGGTTTCCTCTCTTCAAATTGCTTTTAATCACTCATGCCTAAAATATGAATCATACGAGTTGCATCAAATGAAAGAGGAGGATCTAAGCTTTCCAAATAATGTCATTTGTTAATTATAATTGTGATTAAGTTATGGTAAAACATCGATAATGCACGGTTTCGTTTTTTGGGGACGCACTGTATATCGCCTCTATCGGGGTTATCACCACCTTAAACTTCACCAAAAACAAATCAGGATTATACTATACCGGTGCTTATAAGATTTTAATCAGCACACCTACATGGTTCAGTGTACATTTAGGAATCCAACATAACCATAAAACAAACCTTTTTGAAGTGGGTAATATTCGATTTAAAGTCCATAGACAAAACGCTTATGTGACTTTGATTTTGTTTCAAAACCATTTAGTAATTATATATCTTGGGCGTTGACAAATTTGTAAATATATACGGAAATTTCATCATATCATGTAAGTCAACAAATCTAAATTATCTTTATATTGGTGAATCGAAGAAAAAGAGCAAGTTTGTCATCGTCATAATATTTGAAGATCACAATGGTCAGTGTTGACAAAATTGTTGATAAGTATGGTCATATGAAAAAGAATTTAGCAACTTTATGACCTTGAAAAACATGACAGTTTACTATAGAAATTACATGTGTTTGAAATTTAAGATCCTTCCAAACTATTTTTGTTTTATTTTAGTGTACAATCAGCTATTTTACTGCCGTCAATTACCCAACTAAAGAAAGACAGGCTTTTCTAGACCACGTACATTACTTCACCTGCAAGTGTGTGAAATGCATCGAAGAAATCAATGTGAGTTTTACTTCTTAAAGTTTCATTCTTTGTTTCACGCTAGTCAAATATTTAATTAAAAAGATTACAGCTGCATAGGTAGATTCATTCTGAATTACTATCAATCTGTGAACTTGAATTGTATTGGTGGTCTAGGGATAAGGGCTGTGGTTTCATCAATGAGTGTGCACCGTGACTTCCAATGTTCAAGGTAGGAAAACACTATATTGGCCAATAATAAGATCCACGCACTGCTTTACTTTGTATTATTATTCAGTTTGAATTATATCACTCTCACGTACCCTATATGCTCATGCATACATAAACCAAGGCAGTTGATACCTGCATGGAGTTTTTCTTAGTAAATGCACTAGGTAATAAGTGATTTGCAAAGTCCATAAAGAAAGTGTAACATAAGTCTTGAACTATGCATTTCTGTGCAAAATCTAAATTTTCTTATGGTGAAGCAATTTTTGTTTTACATTCCGATTATTAAAACGTTTTCTTTTCACTTCAGGCATTGGAACCGGATGCTGGTTTAACTGAAGAGATCCTAGGTCTAGAGAAATCCAAGGAGGAAATCGAGATGCAAATACAGTTTGCATTGATAACAAAAGATATCCTTTGTTCCCAATAGGAGTACATCTAGGAAGCACAATTACCATAACTATGCGATCCCATTTATGAATTAAATGATTCCCCTTTTTTAGTACCTTTTTAATTTTGTTTTTAATTTCGTAACACTTGAATTAATAGTCAATTTCGGTATTTGCACAGTAAACGTGCTACTAATATCTGTTTCATTAAATTCTAATTTCTCTCTTTCATTTTGTCTTTTTCTCGCTCTTCTTTCTTTCTGCTGGCCTAAGTCTGTTTTTGTGTGCCTGTCTGTCTGTCTCTCTGTCGCCCTCTATTTTGCACACTCCTCTATATTATCAACTTACTGACTTCATTTCAGTCATTCCATTTTCTCTCGTGACATTGCTATTTTTCTTTCTCATTTTTCTTTGCCTTCACACTGTGAATTTGTCAGAACAATCCTAATCATAATTTTGTTAATTTTCAGAAGTTATATTCCTTAATGATGTAATTTTTACATTGGACCAAAGTGTTACAGAAATTCGAGACCTACCTGAGAAGCTGTCTTCCAGCCCATCATTATCTTCTGGTGGAGGTCAGAGATCTAGCATTTGGAATATGCTGTACGATAGAATCATGGGGAAAAGCTGCTCAGATGGGACAACTGATCACAAAACCAAATAGGTGAGAGTACAATCATATCGATCATTCGTGTGATCGAAAAACAAGACACTTTAAATTCACAACGGATTAACTGACTAAATATCTGTTCTTAAACAGGAGCAATAGTGCATTAGTTGAACTTTTCTAAACACTCATCAGACTGAGAATGATCGATATTGTATGCAGGTCTTCCCCTCAGAGCAGAAAAATTATCCATTTCGTTAATTGAACTGCTATATATAATTATGAACAATAAACTTGCTGTAAAGGCTTCACATTATTTTGTAAATTTATCGAAACCTTATTTGTTTGTGTCTATGTATTTTTATGATACCTGTATTGATTTTTATAGAGACCACTATGGACCATACCATCCAAGTCTGGGGATTCACCTCCTGAGGATGGGCCAAGCACTGCTAAACCTGAAGAGATTTCAGGAGGCCAGAAAGTATCTCACAGAGGTAACTAACTATTCTTCCTATAGATTGGTGGGACTGTCTGAAGACTACGATGGTGTTTTTTGTTTTCATTTGTATTGTATTTCTATTGGGGCTTTTCATCCAGCTGTTTTGACAACTTTTATTTGTAGTGGAGTAGAGAAGTAGATTCATGCATTTTTATTAGTGTTTGCTATGAAGCAATTACAGGAATAGGTTCATCTTTAGGATGGTGGGTGGGGGTTGGGGGATAAATGATGGTGTTATATAGGATACACAATGATTTAATCCAGAATAATTTCAGGTACCCGAACCCCATTTTTCCATCCTTTTCGTCTGATTCCATGAACAAGCTTCATATCGGTAGTAGTTTTGTCTGAAAAGGGCACATAAATCACAGTACATCATAACCAAGTTCGTTGCTCTCTAGATATTCTTATTGAGAATCTAAACTGTGTCAGTAGCCATGATATAAATTAGCTAGGACAATAGATGAAAAAGTGTTTAATAAATAAGGAAGGGATTTGATCTACTATAATCCTTGCAATAAAATAATACCTCCCTTTGCTTTATCGTTCTCTCTTTAAAGGGACAGTTAACTTCATGTCAAATGTATATTAAATCCGATCATACCAATTCAGCTCCAGTTTCAAAAAAAGTATGGTGACCGTTAATTGATTGATTAATTAGTGATAAAAAATACACAGGCCGGCTAGTTGTGTTTATTATAAACAGCACGAAAAAGCCAAACAAATCCAACATTGGCTGGAATAAAACGTTATCGGATATTTTGATCAAACAAAGATGATTTTGTCAAACAAATTGTACGCTCTTTCAAATGTATCACTATCTCACATAATAATTATTTTGTGTAGCGCCCTCTATATCAATTCTCGACTATTCCTTTAAATTTGTCCCTACTTTTCCGCGTCTGATTGAGGAGGAAGTTAATTTGGTGCCTAAAGTGTCTCTGTTATTTATTTGTATTTGTTTTAATTCATTATTTTGTTTTTCAGGCAAAGAGTGTTTTGGAGGTAACGCATGGGCCACAGCATTCACTGATGAAGTCAACGTCAGTGCAAAAACTGCTCTGTAGATTTAGGTAATACATGGCTAACGACTTTCCCGAAGGTCACCCCTTCTGTCTTTAACTGCAGATAAGACATGTCGAGCAACCGTCACTGATGTCAACATCAATACAGGACCTTTTCTGTACTAGTAGATGACACTGGAAATACTAAAGATTGAAGGACAGATTGACAGCGAGAGTGAGATCGAAAGGAAACGGGACATAACAATAACAATTAGTTTGAGAAGCTGGCATACAATCAATTCGAAATGTAGTCATTGTAGTTTGTACATCTAGAAATTTGAACACCAGGGCCCCGTTTCATGAAACTTATTTTCAATAACGTGTTACGATCATTGTGATAAGCTACTGAAATCCTTGCATTTGATTGGCTGTGAGCAGATTTATCATATATATGTGGCAGTTGTTATTGATAACAAGTTTGATAAAAACAGGGCCCAGTTCTATTTAAGGAGGTCCCATAGGAAAGATATGAGCCTGCCGCAAACTCCTGCGGCAGACTTGCCGCAGACAGTCATCTTTTCACATGCAAATTAGTTTTGCCGCAGAATTGCCGCAGACTTGCCGCATACTCTTTCAGTATGATGAAGAGTCTGCGGCAGGTCTGCCGCAGACTTGCTGCAGACTTGAAGCATACTCTTTCAGTATTGAAATTGAAATTGAAATTTCAATTGGTGTTTAATTGGTTTCAATTGGATTTTCGTCTTGGGTCCTGCCGCAGATCTGCCGCAGACTGTTCCTGTGGCATACTAGTATGCGGCAAGTCTGGAGTAAAGTTTCATCCTGCCGCAGATCTGCCGCAGACTCTTCCTGTGGCATACTGGTATGCGGCAAGTCTGCAGCAAAATTTCTTTACTTTGGCATACTCTTTGCCGCAGACTAAAAGTCTGCCGCAGATCTGCGGCAGGTCTGCGGCAGGTCTGCGGCATACTTTTCACTTGCCTATGGGGTGTTATTTGTGGAACTAATTAATATAGTACTTTGCAGAATTCATTGTCTATTTCTTCATTTAAACACCTTTTTAAACAATTGGATTTTCATTAATGTACTAAATAACCAGTGACGCCATAGATGTATATGTCTTGTGTGTATTTTCTACCCAATTCAATACAAATTTACTTTTGTGTGCCCTAAGTATAATACTACATCACCGGAATGGTGTGTTGTGTCTTGTTTCTTACGAGTGTACTGGGTGAGATTCTGATTCTAATGGTGAAATAATTAATTACATTTCCGGTGTAGTTTAATTTTTGTTAATACTATTTTTCAAATCGTTGGATAACCTCATTTTGTAAGTCTATCAATTTATATCCATGTTTTTATTCGCTGGTTATTACATATAATGTTATTTAATATCCCTATAATATGTTGTCATCCTGTATAAATATTTTTAAATAAATAAGTTTGAGAAATGGTATAATAATTATTTTGTCGAGAAGTCGAAGAGAAAATACATTTACATGTAGTGTCATGTACATGTTTTCCACTATTAACTGAAGAGATAATTGGTCCAAAGTCTATTTGATATCCCTGTAATATATTGTTATGTTACCCACATTTCATTGATATTTTGTATGTTACCATGTATATACACCGATTCGGGCGACTTCTGGTGGAAGTGCGCCCTCATAAGGTGACGCCATAACTGGGGGGCGTCTGACTGCAGCTAACTAGCTTACATTGCTCAACGGGTATGCTATACCTATACCGAACCTCGCCCAGGCCGGCCAGGGTCGCTGCTCCGCTAGCTAGTAACCGCTCTCGAGCTCTCTGTACTGTCAGCTGGATCGGAGAAGCCCCCCAGTTATAGCGCCGCCACCGGCGGGCAGGTACATAAAACCCCCAAACCGAATCGGTGTATACAGGACCAATGTGAAAAACAGCTTTGGCCAACATTGTCATCCTGTAAAAATATTTTTAAATAAATAAGTTTGAGAAATGGTATAATATTTTGTCGAGAAGTCGAAGAGAAAATACAATTACATGTAGTGACATATGTACATGCTTCCTCTAACTGAAGAGATAATTGGTCCAATGTCTGACGTCATTCAAAGGAATTCGAAATGCATCGTACATGTATTAGTATCCTTGTTGCAGGTATATTTTTCAATAAATTGTAATGCGACTCGAGCTAGAAACGTATACGAAATGGAAACATAATTAGACAGCACGTAGTTATAATACATAATAATCAAGATTCCACTTAATGTATTTCATGTAAAGAACATTTTACTTGTACACAGACATGCTGTATTTTTAAGCCTTAATAAAGAAACAGCCAAATTAAAATGTCGTGTTGTTTTTTTTAATTTGTTTTTGTTTTTAGAGAGAGATAGGGGTGGGGGAAGAGAATTGAATCAGGAATTGAGAGCAAGAGATATTCAGATGCAATTTTGGTATCAGAGAAATATACAATGTAAGTCATACTTGTTAGAAAGGAAGTAGAGATGAAGAATAATAGGAAGTGGAGACTGGAGAAGGAAGAGTAGAAGGATCCAAGTATGAGAGAAGATGGATAGGACAATTTAACCACATACATACATGTACAGTGAAGATAAAAGTTGATGGACACACTAACAAGTCAAACAGACTGCAGATGTAGTTCCTTTCAATTTTTCCATCATGCCAATTTAACCCATCAATCTTGCATCAATGGTTGTCAAGTTCTCATCCCATTTTCTTTCATGAATTTAAATGTTCTGATCATTGAAATTTCCTTTTACATCACTACTTACCTTTTTGAACATTTTCCTCATGCTCTTTTATTGTCACTTTTAATATTCCTTTCTCACTTTCATTTTCTTTCTTGGGTTTATCCTCCCCTGTTATTCTTTCTCACTGATTTTGACCTTTTCTCATTCACTCTTTAATTGTTTACTATTTCTCGCCTTCATCGTCCCAACTTTTCTAACTTTCCCAATACTATTGTTCACTCTTCATATTGTTTTTCTGATTTTGATCACTCTTCTTTCATTTCATTTTTATTTCCTTCAGTTCTGAATACATAACAAAATCGGTGTATATTTAGATATAAATGTACATGGGGAAATATAAACTTATTTCAAACAGAATCGATGATATTGATGATGAAGTATCCACATGAATCTTTCCAATCCTGCAGCAATGATAGATTAGAAAAATACAGAAAACGGTGAGAAAATAACACCTTTTCTAGAAACTGGACATTCCAATATTCTTATCACAGCTTGCAAGCATGGTTCAATACCCTACTGCATCAGCTACAACCATGTTTTACGGTTGTTATTTTTCTTTTAACAAGCTTGATTTAAAGGCACACTGTCCTACTTGTAGCTTCTTGCTCCCTCTATATAGAAAACTTCCCCAATCGGTGCCTGTTGGTCCCCCATGATCCTTTTTTCTTATGTTAAATGAGAGCTAAGTTAATGAGTCACACCTGTCACAGTGACCTCGCTGGCTCGCTGGGTGGTCTAATCCCTTCTAGCTGAAGAATAAAGCCTGCCTGTAATACATCTCAAA